TTAGCTTAGTAAAAATACTAAAGAGAATATTAATAAGTTCACAGTTATCGCAATGAATTTTAATTGTTTTTTTTTTTTTAAATAAACCTAATATAAAATAATAAATAACAGTATTACCAATTGGTCTAACTTTAAATGGTTTAGAATAGAAAATAGTAAGTTAGTGAAGCAGAGTGAAATAATTCATACATTTATCTTCACAGAATTTTTAAAGTATGTAGATTGTGCTTTATGGTTAAACTGCACAATTTAAGACCAAATGAAACTCCTTGCTGTACAAACATTAAATACGGCATACAAAATTCTATTTGGCCAGGAACAATAACATGGTACGGAGGTTGCTGTAATAATGAAAGTCTTTGCATCGTAGATTTGCTACTTGTTCCCATTTCTTATTACATTACTCGTCTTCTAAGATATTCAACGGTACATTTCTGGAGTCTGCATTTCAATACGGTTTGTTTATACGGTTTTAAATTTCTCATTTAACTGTATTTTTTTCTATATTTTGTTATATTGAAAATATCTTTACAACTGTATTAATTAAATCATTACAATAATCATTATCTGTATGTAACGATGGAAATTTTTACATAAATTTCAATACACGTTTTGCTATTAACAATATAATTATTAAAATTCCACAACATGATCCATATTTATAACACGTTGACAAAATAAACAATGTATTAAATGCAATTGATTGATCGATATATTTAGCTCGTAACACTTTGGTTCTACTTATAGAGACTGTATCCATTATTATTACAACTTTTTTCTTGTTCTGCCCACGCATTTTTTAAACTACTGGCATCCGTTATATTATGTTTCCTCAGTAACTTGATGCGTTTTTAAATATTTTGTATGTTACATCACATCTTATTAGTACAACTGTTATAGTATTGTATTGTTTTCACTTTGAAAACTTCATCGGTAAAAAAATAATTTTTCTTAATCAGAAATTCATCACAAATTTTCCAAGATTCAGGAGTCGATGTGTTTAGTACAAACTACTTATTCATGATTTTGATTATTCCTGAATCTATAGATTATGTGATACAAAATTCTATATTATTTGAACCTCATTATGTATGTATATACAAAGTTTATTTGATTTTTAGCGGTAATATTCATTGTTTACCACGAAATTAAACTAATTATGTTATAAATTTTCGTATAATCCCACAAAAAGCTTTAGATAAAGCTTGTACATAATTTGTGAATTAATGTTCCCTAATTAAAACTTGAATTATAAATTAGGAAATTACATCGGAAATAAAACGATTGGCCTATAATATTCCATTAACGTGTATACTCAAATATTAAAATGTTTTAATATGACTATTTACAAATATTTATATTCATATAAAGATCGAGTATTTAAGTATAACAATATGCTTTCTTTTTTAAGGTGTTCTCGCACTAGTTTTTTATTGCTAACCAAATCGTAAGTGATTACCAAAATCATACTTACCTTGAGGCCAGATGACGAGCTGAACACTCATCAAATGGAATATTGCAGTAGTTGTATGTTCTACCGGAAAATACCGGTCGTTTATTTGAATTAGACCTCTTTGTTTATAGCATTGTGAAACTAAGCACCCATAGCCACTGTTGTTCTGAACAGTAAATCAGAGCCACAAGGCTCTATCGATTTTCATGACTGGTTATCAAGCTTCATCTATTTCTCTTCCAGTGTCTGCTATTGTTGTGGATGATTGTTCCATTTCAGAGCCTTCCCGATGAAATTCTTTCGCTATGTATATGATAAAAACGAACCTCGTCATAATCAGTCTTTAATTAATAATCCTTCATTAAAATTTCTGGATTCTCTTTATTATAAATATAAGTAATATAAATATGATCGCTTAATTCCAAATAAAATAAAAAATATCTTTTACCTATTAAGTAAAGTATTGTAACTAGGAAAATATCGAAGCCATGAAATACTATTATCCTTGGCTCAAAATACCATATGTGGGAATTAAGTGGTATAAATAAGTTATAAAATTAACAAAAATAAGAAGTTTTTCTCACTTTTTTATGGCTTTGGTATGTTAAAGCCGGTTATGAGACTATTGTTCTACTAGTGACTTTTAATAGTTCACGCAGTTAAACTTAGTAAAAAGTAAACAAAATACTTTCATTCGTTTTAAAAAACTTGCAATATTTGTACGTACGTTCAAAACATAACTTGAAACTGAATTTTAAAGCAGTTATTCTAAACCAATTGAGATAGAACGTTGTATACACAATTACTTTGGATGGCATTCCATTGTTTGCTAACTATAGTTATTTTAAAACCAATATGTTGAATGTACACTACATTACATTGCATTAAAAAATATAGCATAATAAATGGTTTATCTAATAAAAAATTCTAAATATCTGCACTAAAATCGACTTAACACCTAATGCAGATAAATGAACACTATTTTTATTTACTTTCTAATAATCTTATTTAGAACCTAATTAACTATACCCATTTTCCTAATCGGGCGGTTTCAGTGTCTTAGAGATTAAGTAACTGAACTGTAATAATAATAAAATATCTCTGATTTCATGAATGTCATGACATTTGTATTAGCTGTCTTCTTTTCCTTTAAATTCCTAATTTCCACTGATTTCAATGTAACCAAATTCATCAATTAATTAAAAACGAAAATATCTATACTTATTAATTTACAATATGTTTTTTTATATAATAGAATTTTTGTCATTATTGAAATTACTGTTAGTGAAAAGACAGATATACATTTAAAGAGCTCCTGCGAAACCTTTCTGATGGGACATATATGTGTTACATTTAACACAAACACGAAAATGTAAAGAATACAAAAACCGTTCTCGGATATCAAAATGTCATTATCAAACATTTGAGGGACGTGAGTGGTTTAACAATAAACGTGAACCATCGTTTCATTTGGAACCAAACGTAATGTAATGTTATCCAATTTCCGATGTATGATGTGTACAGATTTTATACTAGCCCTCATTATATGGCACTGTTTTCATACTTTCTCTAACATGTTTAATAATTGTTGAATGTTTTTATCTATCACGTTTAGGTCCCAAAATGATTTGTCACTGCATAATCGATCGTCTATTCTAATTAACCAAACCATCTTACCCATATGACTGGTAAAATGTTATATAAATTTTATAGTATGCAGAATTAACAACCTAAATGAATTCGGTTATGATACATTCGATAGTGTTCTTACTATGACCTACTTATCGGCCGGCTTAGCGTGCGAGCATCCAATTCGAACGTGAAACATGACTTCCAATAAAATCATCCGTGACTGACTTCGTTACTAAAAGTAACAAGATATTTCGTGTCCTGACACGTTTGGCTGCCGCTAAAACTGTAATTTCTTCATGTTCAAAAGGCACGCCCAACAGCTGTAGTGTTAACACGACCATAGCTTCTTATTTATCTGTCGATGTTAGTGGAAATTTCCTTTGAAATTCTTTGATATCATTTTAACATGAACCCGTAGATATTCTGAACTTGTCATATTTGTCATCATTAACGACTTACAAAGGAAAAAATATTTTATGGTCGACGTTGATTTCACCCATTATATTTTTCGGTATTTAAATGAGATAACATAAGGAAAGTTTACTAGCTAAAATAAGTGTTATGAAATTTATAATTGGTTTAGTATATTCATGATATGAAATAATATTAAAGAAAATAAATAAAATGTTATAGTTTTATTTTAATCTTAACATGACAATGTTTCTCAAATTTTAACTAGGTTGTTAATAACTCTCAAAAGACTTATATTTGCTTCTCTTCAGAAATAACTATTTAGAAAAGAAACTAAACGAATTTCAGTGATTTATAAAACTATGTCTGAATGGACGAAGAGTTAAATTGAAACCAAAAAAATATATTTTATAGAAAGAATAATATCTATATTTGAAAAAGCAATCACACATATGGGCAGATTTTTCTTATATTACTTATATTTTCTAGATAAATCTAAGCCCCAGCGCTCCAATTTGATACGAATATGAAGGTTTTCAGCAAAACCAATTATAGAATACATCATATTTAATTTATTTCCCAATTTATCTTTGCGAGTTTCATAAATAAGTTGAAAAGATTTCATTCCACTCAAATATTTAGGAGAGTGCGATTCTTAGGATTGCAATGTCTCTTTGGTGTCGTATTAAGGTGTCTGCATTCGTTGTTTCGCTTCTATATTTGTCAATAGACAGATCTTTATTCTAAGCTGACTTTTTAAAAATCATCTAAACTGTTGTCGTATTTAAATTATATATAGATATTCTTTGTCTTTTTATAGAAAATGAAACTATTATTTTTCGGATATACCACGCGTGCTTTTTTTTCATATCTCGTCTGTCCGTAATCACATTTTGCTGAAAAGTGACCGAAACGTCAGGAATATGTAGTTTTTTTACGAAAATAAACCAAGCGCAAAGTACACCCGACAACTACATACAAGTTTCATTTAAATGCATACTAGCGAAAGTCTGAGATCTCATTATTATAGCAATATATGATAGTATCGGATCCTAATTTTTCATCTATCAAAATCATAGTATATTATTTCGAATCAAATTAATATATTTACTTATAAACTGTAAGTTTGAAGTGTCAACAAACTCAATGAGGTCGATATAGGAGTAACCAAACCAACGTTACGGAATGAAATGCATATTCATATCACTCAACAGTTGCTCTTTTCCAATCATAATATATTTTGTAAGACCTTACAAAAACCATCCCACGTACGTCAAATTTGTTTTATCTTCGTGAATGGTACAGTACTTAACGTGTCAATAATCCATTTTCACTTAAATCTAAAAGTATTAAAGCAAGCACACTCATTTCTTAAAATAAATGTTCAAACCTATATAACTTGTTTAAATTTGAAAGTCGAAAACTGAGTATTAAATTACTTTTAAAACTTATAATTGGAGCTCTAGATTAAAAGGAGATTATATTAAATTTTGTTAATAAAAATATGATAAATAAAATCACTGTTATTTTTGTTACAGTTCCTACATCTGACGTGCAAGGTGTGCTCGGTAAGAAGGCGTCTTTGCCGTGTGACATTCAGCCTCTTCATTCTGACGACGCTGTGGTCATGGTTCTCTGGTTCAAGGAATCTGATGGAGAACCTTTGTACAGGTAAATAGAATATGTTGCTTATAGTATTTAAAATATTTCTATTTGTATCCTTTAGGCGTATAATAAATATCTATAATTTGTTAATATTCTTTTATGATAATTATCGAAGTTGAAAGGAAAATTATTTCGTTAAAACCTGTTAAAGATCGAACCCGAGGTGATTTATCAATTTATTTTGATACATCTCGACACTTGATTACGTCATTTGGGAGTTCCATAAATTTATGTCATCGGTTTCCGGGATCCAATTGTTATCATGACAAATCGTAAGATAAATCCTTAGATATTGTTTTAGATAAAAACAAAAATACAAAATAAATTGTTATACATCATATTTATAAGAAAATATTCAATAATAATATATCATTACTATCAGAATTATATCATAGTTAGTATAACCTTCTTCCTGTTAGAAGAGGCCTTTGCTCAGCAGTGGGTTCTGATAGGCTGATGATGATGATGATGAATACATGGAGCTTCTTTTTAGTTACGATATCCGGGGTCGCCTTTACAATCAACCAAAGCTCTGGTCTTCTCCCCTGGTCTTTGGGAACCGGGCCTACTTCCGAGGAGGAGCAACCCCGGCAGTTCTCATGGTTGACAACGTGCTGGCAATAGATGCTGGAGTATATAGATGTAGAGTAGACTTTAAAAACTCACCAACGAGAAATTTGAAAGTCAATTTCACTGTTATAAGTAAGTAATTGAATTATTTCATCCATAAATATAAATAGTTGAACGAAACGTAATAAGTAATTTGAAAGAGAAACATTCGATTCGATTGCGTCTCAAGTCGAAGTAGCGAATCCATCAATTAATATTTAAAATGGCTTTGAATGATACTTGCAATAATTGGATGATTCTTAAAATGATTGTTCAGTTTCCGATAATAATTGAGCCAGCTTTGATAATAAAACTCCCTTTCCGATTACAAATTCTTATATAATGACTTAAAAGTAAAAACTTTCTAACTTCATTAAAAATTTCGGACGAATTTATTCACGGGACGAAATTTGAGATTGCTTTATTTATTTTCACAATCTCGAAACAGTTTCAAAGTATTTGATTGCAATTTATTTTGAAGGATTGGATAAACCTTAATATCTTTTTCTGAATCCTATTATTTTCCTTAAAAATTATGGATGAAGTTATAAAAAGAGCAGTCCTTGTCAAGGTTTTATGGAGTTTCTTTATCCTTTAAGATTTCGGTGACATCGTAGACAAATTAGAAACGTGGTGTTGTTTTGGAAAAAAATATGTGTTTTATTTTAGTTCCACCGAGTCGACCGACAATATACGATGCGAAGAGAAGAGATCGAACTAAGTTAGTTGAACCATACAATGAGGGATCAAACGTATTGCTTATTTGTGAAGTTGAAGGAGGTAAGCTTTTATAAGATATCAATTTAAACATAAGAGAGGTGCCTTCCAGAATCTATTACTTTTAACAAAGGTTAAAGTGTGTTATTGTATCATATGAAATGATATGAGGAATTTTTCAAACTGATAGCATAAACATTTCTTTAATAATTTGTTAAAAATTTAAGACATCTTGTCTAAATACTTAAATAATATTCAAGTAAGTTCTATAGAGAAAAACATTCATCAACTGTTCTGGATTCCAACTTTGGAGCTTGGAAAATGAAAATGAAGTTTTCTCTCTACATTATACATATGTTGACATATTAAATTGATTCGGAACATGGTTCTTACATTATATATATTTTATTTACATTAACATATTATCTGTTTAAAAATGCGTTTTTCTTTGTTTGTTGTCCGAGAACACAGCTCCAATCCAATAAACAAATTGGTTCATCTTTGTCTGCCCATTTATATTTACAACGTATAGTACTCTCTTTTAAAAGAACCACGGGGTGTCAAAACATCTATATTACTAGTATTAAAAATTAATACCAGAAGATTCAACAAAAATTAGAACATGTTGATTCGTAAGAACCTGTAACTAATTTAAAATATAAAAATAAAACAACACAAACAAAACACATATTAAGGTCACAACATTTTAAATGATAATTTGTAATTTGGAGATGTAATTGAAACAGTAATGATTATATGTTTTACGAGAACGTAATTATTGTCATTCTGGTTCACGGCACCATCAATCTTGTTGTCACAATGTTTTTTTCCCTAACCACTAAACTATATTGGTAATTTTGTGAGTTACATTACATTTTCCCCTATACAAAATTGGGGGCTAGTAAAGCTTCACTCATTTTTGTTTCTCGCACTTACGTCATTGTGATATAATTACTATTACAATCATTAAATCAGATTTAATTCTTTATTTTTTAATATAATAACTCATTATAATAAGGCTTAGAACATTATAATATTTTTTTATACAAAACATTCCAAAACAACCAGAATTACCATTATTCTAGTTACGTATAACTCCATTAATCAAATACGCCGTTATTAGACCTTATCGCTCCATCTTCAACAACTTGATATCACGATCTAAAGATGGTGTCGGTGGTATCGTATCATAATCATTAATTACAGGATGGGCGTTACAAGCAACAATAGCAAAGCTTGATTTAACATTGAGTTTGAATAATTCTTATGATTTAAATCTAAAACCAGTAGTGACGAGATAAATTATATTAGACAATCAACTTTAATATAACCCCTGAATATATTTGATCCGCGATTTCAATAAAGTAATATTAAATGTGATTTTTATCGTGATCTCTGTTTTGAGATACAAATTGTTTCAATCAATATCAGAAAGATAATTGCTAGTGAAAATATTTACAATTAAATTCAGGCATAAATCGTATTTATGTTTTGTAATTAATCTGAATTTGTATCAATGAATAAAAAGTAATTGGACTCCAATCAAAAAGTGATAACAAAAAAAATCTAATAATTAATTCGTTGTATTGTTCGATCGCGCACCACCCTGTATATCGACGTGACTATTTCGACCACCCGTGACATTCACCATTAACGCATACCACACTCGTCATTCACACCCAATTGTCCTCTAAAGTTATACTTATAATTTCAATCCCTTTTATAACGGGACTTTCAAATTTGTCTCTAATATATCTCTAGTATAATTTGTGTATGTTGTGATTAAAACTAAAAACATAACGGAGTCGTATTCTTGTCATGATAACACCTATATTAAATATTATTCCAAAACCGCCACCACATTTTTAATTAGAAACCACGATCTCAATTACGAAACATAATGAAGACGTCAAAAACATTATAAAAGAGTATACAATAATAATTCCATCGTATTTTTTTGCTGTCCTATATTTTTGTGGTTTTTAATTCGAAACTTTTAGACTCAGCAAAGTTGAGAGATATTAAAGCAACTTTTGACAAAAATCTTATTTAAAAATGTTTCATAATGTTTCTGCTTTGCAAAGACACGGCAAGTGTTAATTAATGATGAAATTATTAGAGCACTAAAATGTATGCATACTGAGCACCATTCTATATATTTTTTTACTTTATTGGGGCTTAGTAATCTGAAAAAGAAAATAATATTGTCAATATTTCTTTATATTCTACACTTAATTACATGAAAACAGAACTTATAAAAATTCTTTAATAAACCCCTAAAAGTCATTTATGATACCCCTCGATAGGTGTTTTTTACTATTATTTCTTTTGTCCATCTCTTTCCATTCCATATCTGATAGTGTAAAATTTTACTGCTTGTGATCGTATGCCGTGTTAACTTGATTTAATTAAAGGTAAACTTACGTCTTAAATGCCCTAAATTACATGAAACATATCAATATTAACAAAATTTTGATGTAATTTCATAAAGATTTGCTTACTAGGTTTGAAGAAACACACGCAAACAAAACACTAAGAATTCATTGTTTTTAAGAAACATAATGAGTGATATAAAGTTTGTTGCTATGTGTAGTTTGTAAAATAGTCCAACAACTCGTTCAACAGGTAGACCACGACCGAAACTGACATGGTACTTGGAAAACGTTGTCATAGATGATTCCTATGAACAAAGGGAAGACGGGCTCACTGTGAATACGCTGACGTTCCCGAACGTCGGCAGGCAACATCTAAATGCAAGGCTTGTTTGCCAAGCGTCCAACACAAATCTGGCGCCGCCTGAGACTAAAGTAGTAATCTTGGATATCAACTGTGAGTACATAAATTTTGTTTAATTATAAATTATTTTCAATAATATGATAAATGTGTCAAATAAAATGTCTTAGAAGCTAAAAAATAGTATTACTTTTTAGTCAGAATAGGTTCCAGTGCCGAATTCATAAATATATTTTTTTCTTTTAAAGCAAATGAAATAGGGGAAACATTCTTAATTCTTCGAAAACATAATTTGCTTCGGAACTTGGCTTGAATACAAAATAAAAAGAATTAAAAGAGAAACTAGAAAAATTGTTAATAAGATCACAAATAATTTCGTTTAAGCTCGCCTCCTTATAAATTTTGCTAAATTAGATTCAAGCGAGACGATCTCACGATCGCCTTGGCATCATTTAAAATGAATGTACCTATAAGCTCACTAGGAATTTTCTCTCTTTCTCATTACGCAGTGAAACCGATAACGGTAAACATATTAAACAAGGAGAAGCAAGTATCAGCAGATAAAAGATACGAAGTGGAGTGTAAGACAACAGGATCGCGTCCCGACGCCTCCGTCACTTGGTGGAAGAACAATAGACAACTCAAACGGATGGCGAAAAACGTACGCCCTTTGTCCTTTATGCTATTGTCTCTTAATTAATAGATTCTTTTCAATTTTTTTCCTAACACCATTCCGTCTCTTATATTTTTTATCCTAAAATAGGGGTGCTTTCGTATTCAATGAGTTCCTTTGCGAGGAATATAGATTTTTTTACTGTCATACAAACTTGAAATTTGTTTTGTTTTGCATTTATTCAATATAATTAGTTCTGTGATTGTATTAATTTGTCTTGACAATGAAGAGCAGGCAATAAATAATTACCTTTGTAATCCACATTTAACGTTGTTTCTGGCAAATAACAAGCGATATTAAATTCCGAAATCAACTAATCCTCTTAACTCTAATTAATATTCTGATTCTGATTTCTCGAAGAAATTATATTTAATACTTTGTATTTTCGATTCATCATAAACAAAAGTTCGAAAGGAATGATGATTTATAAAAATATTTTTGGAGAAATATAATAAATAAAATAAATAAGATATATTTTTTCTAAACTTAAGCCGGCTTAACTTTAAATATAATTTCTTGGAAAATACCGTTGCCTCAGGTATAATTGGGGCTTCATTAGTTTTGAAGAATCAGAGAAACAACACATACATTTATTTATAGTAGAAAATATTTCCAACAATATTAAATGTATAAAATAACTTGATGTATTTTTAAAGTTCTCAGAAAACAACGAAACACTGAGCGTTCTAAGTCTAGTTCCGAGCGTTGAGGATGATGGTAAATATTTGACTTGCCGCGCTGAGAACAAACGCATACCAGACTCCGCGATAGAAGACAAGTGGAAACTAAATGTGCATTGTAAGTTATTGAATCACTGTTCAGAAATGATTTACGACTGTTAGCTTCGTGTGGAATATAAACACCATACTGTTTGTTATAATACTGACGGGCCACAGTAGCAGTGAACAATACGGTTTGAATTTTAAGTGCATATTTTACTTCAATACATTTTAAAATGAGTGTTCTCAATATATCGATCAAAGATTTTAGATTACTCTTTTTTGTAATATCATTTACTTAGAGTAAAAATTTATATTATGAACACTTCGACATATTTTATCAAACCACTCATTTTTAATAATAAAGTAAGCAAAAGTATGTATATTCGTTATTAATTGATTGAAAAACATATATTTCCGTTATTTTTATTGAATAAAAAAAGGTAATCATACATAAATTGTTGGATTTTGAAATGAAATCATCCGAGCTTAAATATTTTATTCGAGAGCACGTTCCATGGAAAAACATCCAACACGTAGCGACATTTAGAATGAAAACTATTTGAATTAAAGAATTTTAATACGATTCAAATTGTTCAGTTTGTCTGGAAACATATGATACTTTTAAAATTGCTCTTTTTCGATACTTAAAATGCCTTTATTTTATAGTCGCAAATACTTACAACAATTTTTATTTATGTTTTCATATTTTATTTATAAATAATAAACAGAGTAAATATAGTTTTTAAGATATTACCCAAATTAGGTACATAGTTTACCTATAAAATAGAATTAACTGATAAATTAGTTACTTGAACTACAAGTTTTTGGGCAACAAATTATTATTAATTAGTTCAAAATAAAAAATAAAAAATTTGTTTCTTTATATTTTATTTGAAAAAGATGTCAATTATTTTATTATTAAAAATTAATCAAATCCAATGTACAGTAATTTACGTCTCTCCAGCGAAAATAAAAGTTAGTCACGCGTTGTTGCGACTTCTTAAAAATATCTTAATTTATCGCGAAAAATCTTCAAGTGCTATAGAGAGTTACAGGCTTGAAAAGGATGGTTATAATAAATCTTGGAGAATGACACGTAGGAACGAAGGGCCAAGTCGCAGCAAGATAAACCCAAATTATTATTATGAAAAGTCTCTTGAATCTTTATAAATTTTAATTAAAATACTGCTAGCAATAGTAAAACATTTTGGGTAGATGAAATTGATGTAATTACATTTTATCCTTAAGCTAGCACTGAAGTTCGACCTTTGTAATTGAATTATTAGAATTTGGCCCCAATGTTCACGGGATGATGAATCACTTTTGCCTAATATAATAAACGTCGCCGGTTAAGTAATAATGCTTTACACGATAATATTTTATAATGAAATTAGAATTTTAAAATCTCAACAGATTCCAAGATCTGACAATTTATATTTCTAGCTACATTTTATCTATTCTATTTTTATCTTATATATTTCCAGCTATATAGAAAGAACTCTTTAATATAACTTTGTTTTTGTTACAGATGTTCCAATAGTGGATCTCAAGATGGGTTCTAATCTAAACCCTGATGAAATAAAGGAGGGCGACGATGTTTACTTCGAATGCACTGTCACAGCCAACCCCAAGACACACCGACTGGTTTGGTTTCACGACGTAAGTAAACAACCACATGTGTAAGCAGCTACAGCTTTAACATACTGTAATACAAGAACTATATTGGAATACGGTGTTATTGAGAATATTGATACCATCCATCTATACATACGCTTACTTCATGGTTTAATTAAGATTGCATTTGTTCAAAACTTAGATAAATGACGCTGTTAGGTATAAACAAATTTATACCATTGAGATTGAGACGTTTATAACATTGAGACTGCAACTCATTTGCCTTTATTTGTTTATTTATGAAATAACATAGCTTATAATAGTTAAGACTGAGAAAATAGATAATTTTCTATACAAAAAATTTCTAAGCTATTTTAATCTCATCCTAGAACAATGAGATCTTTCACAACGAAGGTTCAGGAGTTATTCTGAGTGCACAAAGTCTAGTGCTGCAAAGTGTGACACGAGCAGCGGCAGGAGATTACACCTGTATGGCAGCCAACAGCGAGGGCAAAGGAACTAGCAATCCTGTATCTCTATTAGTTCGATGTAAGTATTTCAATATATTCATATACGCGTACTCATTACAAACATTTCACGGTGGTAACAAACTTCCAGTTTTTAGACCTGTTTTTGGTTCAAGGTAAGAATATTGCGATGTATGTTACTTCAAAACTAACGAGGGAAACCTTCAATTTGTCACATGTTATATTTTTCTTTTACATTTGAAAGTTGAAACGTCGGGATCGTTAGAATGAAATGTGTTAGTTCTACAGACGTGTGATTCTGCTATTGGCCGTCATCCAACAAACACAACAGGACGTTGTAAATTTTGCCATGTGCATGTATGCCTACCATTTCCGGTCTGCTTTACTGTACCATCAATGTATATTTCGTAAAAAAAATTAAGCCTTTTGGTATTACAGTAACCAAGTCAATATTACCTTTCTTGCTGCAATAACATGAAAATACCTTGTATTTTCATGTGGCACAAAAATGAAACTTCTATAATAAATATTTTTAATATTTTTCAATAGGTTTGTTAAATATTTTTTCGTAAATGAACAGATCGCTCAGAATCAATTCAGATAAATTTCAAATTATGCTCCAGAGGAAACATCAGCAACGTGGCAATTTCCTTTTATTTTGTTTCTAGTGACCTGATTTTATTAAGAGTAGGTCGATTCCATTTTTCATTATATTATTTTATATGTTAGAGACATAGCTGTTTTTTAAAGTGTATAACATTAAAAAATTTATTCTCTATAAAATAAACACACTTATTCAAAATTATGTATTTCTTATTATTATAATTGTGAATAGCAAACATATTCCAATTTATTTCTAAGTTCTTTGAATGTAGGAAATATATCTGTTGATAAATGTTCGCGATAAGCTTTTATTTATTATAACTATCATTAGACGTCGAATATCGAGTCCAAAACTTATCTCAGAAACAGCACTTTACGCGCAGATGTGAGAACAATTTTAAAAGTTGGACATCTTTCAAACTGAGAAAAATTCCAAGTGTGCAGTGCTTTGTGTGAACGGAATTATTTGACTCCAAGCTAGAGATCAGTTTCAACTACCAAAGAGAACGTGGACCAAATATTTGCATATTATATTGGACTTGTCTCAGCCCACTGTTTACTGAAGCGATGAAATTCACGGTTGCATGCAGAAGCCAATTTGCAGCGAACATATTGGTATGGACCTAATCTGGTCTGTTTTCAGAGCGAATTAGTCGATTGCAATACTTGCGGCTTATTTGAAGGTAATACAAAACCGAAACATTCATGTTGCATTCATCTTCATTTACTATATCCGCTAATAATTTGCTGGTAGAATTTATTTGAGCCAAATTGAAACAGGAATATCCGTATTTTGATTGAATACTAAACAAGGTTTACAAACTCTATTCAGAGCATCCTAAAAATAATTATTAAATAATTCATGAAAGGTTTTGTGAAATGACCTCATTACGGGGATGAATAATTTATTTAATAAAAAAAACTTCACATTTCTAGAGCACTTTCGCTAAGAGTAGTCACGGTCCAGTGCATTTTCCAATAGCATTATATTATCAGCTTTTAGCATCCCAGATATACGCAATGCTTATAAAATTTTACGGCGCCCTATAGGAATGAACCTGGGTCGGTAATGGCAAAATATTTTGAACCGCCATCTTGTTGAAATCGTTTTGTAAAATTTCACCCATTTAATATTCAAATTTAATTTAAAGCTTTTGTGAAGGAACTTTTAGTGAATTTAATGTTCATTTTATGAATAATCTAAAATGAATTTTTATGTTCAATCGGATATATTACTATTAAAATCATTTGTGTAGCATTTTCTGTGAAATTGCAAATCCTATTATGCTAAAAGACAAAAAGCGATTAAAAAAAATTAAAACATAAACAGTTTAATGTAAGTTTCCCTCATTACTTTAATAGGAAGCCGATAAAAAATAAGAATTTCATTTTTATTAGTGCTACTGAACAGTGATTGGATTATATGAATCGTAATTGAATTCTTGTTTTTATTCTTTCCAGCTGTTGTTCGAACTCCAATTCCAGATTCTAATTGGATGACGTCACCTTGTTATTTTTTTTCATCGGACTATTCTATTAACTTCTATTCGTTGTTTATGCCCAAAACAGTAAATATCTCTGGAGATTATCTATAGCCACCTACAATACTTAATGCGATAATAGTGACTTATGGAGCGTTTCATTCTAGTAATTTTCATAACGAAAAGCGAGCAAAAATATCAAAATATCAAAGGGTTAGGTTTTCGTTTATAATAAGTATAGGTAAAGTGATATAAAATCAATAAATATATTTATTAACATACGATAGATTCACCATTATAAAACGTGACCTTTATCTAGTTCAATGACTTCGTTGTTATCATTTCTATGTACAGATATGCACATCTAATTTTCGTTGCTATTTCAACGACAACCTTACCCCATTATTAAACAGCGATGTTGCTTTCTGTTTCATAACGTTTCCTTTTAAGAAACTGTGAATCTTTAAAAGAAAAAGATTGTTGTTTTATCCATGTTGTTCTTTGAAAGTTTTAATGAAATGTAAATTTAGATTGATTTTATCTTCTGACTTTTACTTTGAATTTATTTATTTGTTTTAATTATCTTGCTAAGTTCTTGATTGCTGTTCTCGCCTGTAGAACAGTTTCTGTGTTTTTAATGAATTTCTTTATTTTTTTCAAAACAAAGAATCTACGTCTGTTAATATAGAAGTAAAATAGTCAATCTATTATCTTTTAATTTTAGCTTTTTTCTCCTAAATGTAGTACTTAATAATTAAAGTACATAAATGTTAGGTTATTTACTTACTAAGTGAATTATTCATAATGTTTTATAGCTTTATATTTTTCATAAAAAACATCTTCTAACAGATGCTCCAGTGTGTTCAGAGAGGAAAGATAATGAACTCTTCGGAGCATTGAAACAAGAAACCGTGTCTTTGCATTGTTCAGTCGATGCCAACCCGGCATTAGTATCTTTTCATTGGACCTTCAACAACTCTGGAGAACAAACGGAGTTACCACCAAGGTAAAATCATGTCGTTTCAAATTATCTACTGTATTAAATTATGTATAATAATATAAAGTTCAATAATAACATTTTTTATTCAATGATAAAACTGTGTATTCAAATGATAACTTAATGAAACAAAATATCTTTTTAAAAAAAAATTTTGATGACAATCAAAACGCTTCTTTGAGACTAGGCAAATAAATGGCATAAGTATTATATTTCAACATTTTATACACAGATTATACAACAGTCATGGCCACACATCCACATTGAATTACACGCCGACTACGGACATGGAATATGGCACTTTGGCTTGTTACGGAGAGAATGCTGTCGGGCAGCAGAAGGTCCCTTGTATCTTTCAACTCGTAGCCGCCGGTGAGAATTTAATACAATTTGTATTGTTTTATGTTACAGCGAAATGTAATATACTTAGGCTCAAATATTTATTTTTTCCCAGGTCGCCCTTTCCATCTTCAAAACTGCTCCATAGCGAACCAAAGCCTGGACTCATTATATGTGGAATGCGTCGAAAATTTCGATGGTGGTCTCCCACAGACATTCCTCATGGAATTACTGGAACTTCCGTCACTTACTGTAATTAAATCTTATCTATGTTGTTACATTAATATTTTCACGAGATTTCCAAATTAATTTCTAAATTAGGATTCCTTAAACGATTATAGGAAGCGCACGAAATTAATTAAGGCGATTATAAGATGATGTAAAGATTAAAGATTTAATATCATTTCATTATAATTTATTACTTCAATTAAATTTTGATCTTAAAGATCAAAAGATAAAAAAATACTTTTGTGTTTTTGATATATTTAACTTTAACATGAAATTAATGTAAGTAAATATTTCTCTTAGGTAAGATACAATATATCTACAAACCGGACGCCCCCATACTTCGAGGTTCGTGGCTTGGCTCCCGGCGTTAGCTACAGAATTGATCTTTATGCTGTTAACGCAAAAGGCAGAAGTGACGTCACTACCATTGAGACTGTAGCTCTGAAAGGACAGGCCAAGTTTACTGGTAAATAATAGTACATTTACAGATAAGAACGGTTTTTGCGTGAGCAAATTGAAAATTATATACCTAAAAGCTTCTTATATACCTAAATTTTCAAGAGAATCTTAGTTTGATTCTCTAATGTTGATGTTACATTTTTGATTTTTTCATTAAAAAGTATATGGTTATTTAGTAAGACCATTACCTCGATCTTCAAGAAAATAAAATGTAAAGTACAAAATTTAAAATTTATTATTTATACACTCAATAAGAAACCATTTAATGAAGTAGGTTACCCAGTCACACTTTATTATTATGAAAATAGGACGGCTTAATTTAGATACTTTGCCATAGAAATGTGAGACAAAGTATTTTAAAAAGAATTTTTTATTGACGTGAAACTTTCAACCACAAAAGTATATTTTCTTCTCATATTTAGTTTATTATTAGTTATGCTTATAAATTGGTAGGCATATTTATTTATTACCATATTGTTATAAACTAAATATAAAACTAAATATAAAATATATTTTTTCTTATATCTTATACTTAATACAAAACTTCATCTAATTGCTAGCAAAATATGAAAAATACAACTAAGGAGAAATAAAAGAAAGATAAAACTTCCCGTTTCTTGGGCCAAGTTTACAGAGGCCGCTGGGAAATTCATTTCGGAACCTATTTGACTACATTTCGAGGCAAATAGTAGATTTGGGACTTGCAATCTTCACAATTACAAAGACTTTAAGAAAGTCTTGACCTGTTCTTATAACGTTTAAATGAGAAAAAAGTCGTCATTAGAATTTTAATATAAAACAAATTTAATTTATTTTCAACGAATATCAAACTCATTTATATATTTTTGTTACTTAAAAAATATATGTATGTATTAAGGTAATATGAACATATTGGAGTATTTTGTAATTATGTTTAAATCTTAATTATTTTTTTAACATTAAGTATTATAAGCGTATTTTAAGATTCTCTTATTATTACTGAATAAGAAATTTATCCAAATTATGGTCTTTTATTTTAATGGATCTAAAAAAAAAAATATTTATAAGTAGATAATAGCTATACGATTTTCATATTTTGGGAGATGAAATCTTAATAAATAATTTGTGTATCAGGTGAAAGCAACTCGCTAGGCCTTTCTCCTGTACTGGCCTCAGTAGCGGCAATGTCAGCACTATTGGCGATGTCAGTTTGCGGCGTACTTGCTGTACTGTACAAGCGGCATCTCAACAGACATAGACAACTACCGGCCAAGCACGCACCTTTGAGGTATGTCCTAAACTCTGTTATATTAATAACTAGCTGCGCCCCGCGGTGTTACTCGCAGATTTCCGGGATGTAAAGTAGCCTATGTGTTATTTCTGGACGTCAGCTTCCTGTATACAAAATTTTATCAAAATCGGTTCAGCCGTTTTAACGTGAAGAAGTAACAAACATGCAAAAGCACTCACAAACTTTCTCAATTATAATATTAGTAGGATGAGATCTACTCGTAACACAACTCATCTGCCCGTAATCACGGTTGCTGCAAAGGAACCGAAACGTCGGGAGTATGTAGTTTTAAAATATTAAAATATGAATAATTATTAATTCATTTATCTCTTCATATTCATATTCATAGTTGACTTATGTAAGATAATTAATCTGTAATTATAAGGCTAACTAAATGTAAACATGCTACTTATAGTAAATTAAGGTGTCCGTTATGTCAACTACTAATCTTGTTTTATGTAAAACTTAATATCAGAAACGTTAGAGATATTTATGAATCGTGATCACTGTACCCAAAAACCTCTAGAGGTACGACCAACATCTGCCGGCCAAGTAAATAACATTACCTCAAAGCAATGTAATGAGGTAATGTTTATTGAGCGGGAGTTAAGCGTTGTTTGTGATTTTAGTTTGCAATTAAGTAACATTAATTAATGTTGGAATAGTAAGACTTAGGAAGAAAACATTGAAAATAATATGATATAATTGTAATATGGAAAACATTGGTAACAACGAATGAACGTTCCGGTCTTTGGGTACTTTAATACAGATTGATGCGTGGGCGTAGACTTTATAAAAAAGTCGATCTAACTTTATATTAAAGAAAAATAATCGTATTGAATATCGGCATCGTGTATATTTAAGACGTTTATTTTTAAAACACTTAGAACAAAATCTGCCTTAATTAAAATTTATGTTTCTATTAACTCAAACAAGTCTAAAATCGACTTCAGATAGTCTTATTTTTTTCACGATTTCATTTCTTTTTTCATATAAACATATAAGTTTTAATCATTTATAACTCTCACCTTTTGTTTCAGCAAATGTATATCATTCTCTAATAATAAATGTTTACAGTATCAAAAATATAATTTTATCCCATTTCATGGAGTAAGTTTAATAGTTCTAGTCATCGTCATATACTTCAAACCCTCGTTCGTGTTGCTGGTTGCATAAACACGACCTCTGTTGAAGCGTTCTACATACTTGGTCAATATTACAGATGCCCGCATAACGAAACGTAACCTATCAATACGCCACATAACGTTATGGGGTAACAACGAACACTCAGTCTAACTGTATTTTACCATATGTCTTAGAGGCTCGTTTCGCTTTTATCTAGAATGCCAATTAGCATAATACAACTATAGAGATCTAAGACTTTAACGAGTATTCATTTAAACGAAAGTAATACTACAACTGCAACGTGATGCACGCGGCACACCCACGGTGAATCCATTTAATGTTAAGAGCGGATTACTACGCGTATGTTATTATTAACAAAAACTACATAATCCAGACGTTTCGGTTACTTTTTAGCAACCATGAACTAAATACTCCCGACGATTCGGTTACTTTGCAGCAACCGTGATGACAAAGACGAGTTATATGAATAGTAATAGTTACATTTAAATAACTTTTATGTCCTACTGTATATACACGAGGTATTACTAGCCTTCATTTCAGCCATTTTTTAGGTTCTTTACTCTTCTAATAAGTAAGAGCATACATATAGTAATATTATAAATAATATACATAATTGTAGACAGGTAAATAATTATTTTTCACAAGCTTTAATTTTAGGATTATAAACATAAATATTTAAATTTATACACGATATATTTTGCAATTGTATTTATAGAGTTATTTTCGTTTTTCGTATTTTCTGTTTTTAAAATCTTAAATACATATTTAATTTCGTCCTTATAGCCGACGATTAATTTAAATTAAAAAACATTAAGGACTAGTGTAAATGAATAAATTCCAAGCAAATCTGTTTACTAATTTCGTAAATTATATCAGAGAGAAAGCCAAATTAAAATTATAATTTGTCAACAAATTTAATGTGATATTTTCTCAAGTTTCTTTTTATCACCTACAGTATTTTAGGTTCGAATGTTAATTTTAAATAACGGCTCTTAAAGATAAATCGTTCCAAACAAATTAATAGTCTATAATTAATAGATTATTATTATTGCACTCTAGGTTATTGACTTTTTAAAATTATTTTGCTGTCCAGAGTGCTCCAGAAATATATTGACTAATATTCATCGCCTATAACTTCACTCTCTAATAGGATTACACGATTCAGCATGTTGAAGATATTTATAAAAAATATAACTTCACTCTGACTGGTAACTGGTTCGTTTATGACTATCTAGTTAAGAAAAACTAAATAAAATAGAAATCGTTGTAAAAGTTATATATATCATGACCAAAAAAATTATTAGTATTACAGTAGTCAAGAGTTTTTATAAAAATTATGTTTGTAAAGTAATTGATTCATATTTTTAGATGAATATATATTATTTTTTAATCATTTTCCTATATAGTGAAGCTATGTATGCTGAGAGAAGTGGTCAGTGCACGACGCCGGTGAAGGCTGAGGTACGACCAGCTCCAGAACCGGACCCAGCTGATGATGCTGACCCTGATATTATACCTAACTTATATGGTGAGTAATATATTTATTTTGACATATACTCATATTTATTTTGACATTTATTGTATCTGTATGAAGCAACGATGACAACTCATACCGGTTCTTATCTTCTTTTTATATGACAAAGTTCTAAGTTTCTTCTTAAATTCTAAGACGATGTTATGTTTTTGGAACTATATTACTGTAGAACGAAGACCAGTGTCGAATGGCTACATGAGCCTGCAGCGTCCTGGCACAGGCGAAGATGACGCACGCTCTGAACCTGATGCTGGTGGCTATTACGCGGATTATAGGAAAAAGGACTACAGGATACCATTGACTAATGTGAGTTATACCAATTAGAACAGATTTTTTTGTGAAATTTTGCAGTATTTTATCGCTTAATATACATACAATTCATAATAGTTCACTGAAGCTTTTTATTACAGTCCAGTAGGAAACTGGAGCATTAGTAGTTTATATGAATAGCTCATACTTAGTAACTGAACTGAACTACTTAACTAGTAACGACTATGGAGATTCAAGTTTCCACGCTATAAAAAAGCGAATAAAAAATCCTGAACTTGTATAAAAGAGTTCAGACAATAAATTCTACTAGAAAAAGCACCTGGCTTTCACTAACAAAATGCAATCACGAGAACTATCTAGTATGTTTTTATCTAGAATAAAGTGATCTTTGTACGGAATACAATGGTAGCGTAAATACAATATATACTGTATGCTCACTTATTCAGAATGAGAGTAGGTCAACATTGTATTAACTGAAGCCACAATTAGTGTTATGTGGGCCAAGCATTTAAATGACTTTCATCTTTTCTGGTAGGGTTTTTGAAAAAGGAACTTTTAATGATGTCACACCATTATAATGAATGTTTTGTTACTTTTCTCTTAATTTTTGAAATATTTCGCTTTTTTCATTTTCATTGTGTCAATTTAGACTTTCGAGAACACAAATTTTAATAAGACTATGTTTTATATGACTCCCGTAAAGAAATTCAAAATAAATCTGAAAACCATAGCTTCATTAAAAAGTTCATTGTTTTGATGTAATAAAATATTACGATAACCATTTAAACAATGAGTTAAATAAAGGTATATTATCCACAAAATATATTATCAAGATCCACAAGAATATGTTGACAATAATGACATTATCTGTAATATATTTGTTGTCTAACCATCATAACATAGCCAACATTCCAGTTCTCCCACTTATTTCTTAGGTTACCATGTAACACATTACCTTACAGTCGTACCACAGTCTGAACCGCGTCAACAAGGGTGTTACAACGAGAGCTTGCAGTCCCGCGGCGGCGGGTGTTACGTCATCGCTCACGGCTCACCGACTGCGCCCGGAGGTAGTCACAACTTCCCACCGCGTTCAAGAGAGCTGTATATAAATCGTTCCACTGTTTCTAGTAATGTAATATGTAATTAATTTTCGATCTTTTTGATATTTTAACGATCTAAACCCTCCATTGTACATAATCTAAAAGATAACAGACTGTGTTCCTTTCGTAGTGTAACGTATTGTAAATTAATATTTCTACTCGTTTTGTGTATTGAATGTTGTAAGTGACACTTGTTAGTGATCAATGCTTAAAACTTTGATATATGATTGGGTCAATGTATTTTTTATACTAATTGACGTTACTAAATTGTATTTTAAAAAAATATGTTTATCTCATAAAATTAATATCTATGGGCCTAAAAACTATGCAGTCGTATTGAATTTATTTATTATACATTTCAATATTCATTATTAAATCTACGGACTTCTCTTTGTTTTAATGTATTTAATATAATATTTGCCTGTTTTGTATTGTTTTAAATTTAAATATATTCGCTTCGAAGGATAAATTTTATATGACAATACAATTCTGTCTGTAAAAAGTTTCCTTTTCATATTTTTATTTCGTATAATAAAATCGTGGGAATGTAGAAAGTAACGAACGCGTCAGAACGTTCAAAGAAATGACGAACTTACACGTTTACGTTGAGAATTATCACTGGAGTGAGATTCACAGATAAATATTGATCACTTGATTTAGACTAGAAATGTAGCGTTTGACGTTCACATTGATGTTAAAATATAACATTAAACTTATAGTATTGAAGATATGATCCTAAAGATATATATATCAGCGTTTGAAGAATTTATCCTGATAATAGCTAGTATATTATTGATATAACCAATTATATTGTTGGTATATCAAGCCAATTATCGTATTCTCCTAAACCTCAATAGATCGACAAACATTTATCCACATAGAACGAGGGTCTTTCATGTTGTAAATTGGTTCAATTTAAAGCGATCCAATCGTTTGAAGAGCTCACCTGTATAAGACCCTCACGTCAAGTACAATGCAATTTCCAATCCGCCGAAAGATCTCTAACTTCATATGAATAGTACCAATCTCATTATAGATTCAATGAAAAAGTGGCGGATCAGATAACATTTCTTTGGTGACTCCCTAGACGAAGGCTATTAAAACTATCGGTTGTCATTTCTATGTTTTGTATAACAATAATAGATTTATTATTAGAGATCTTTGTCTATTTCGTATTTTAATTCATATCAATTGATGTTGAGCTACATCGAATTGGGTTTTCTAACCGTGACATCTGATTTATATATTAGTGCTGCCATTGAATTTAAACTCAATTCAGTTATCAAAATTAATGAACGATGAAGAAAAAATCCAGCTTAAATTCATGTGCTTGTTGCTGATGATTTTTGGCTCAAATATTTGAGAGGTTGTAAAGATACATTGAAGCGTAATAATGATACGCACATTGATTTAAACATTAAAATTTTTCTTACCTAAGATTTAGAACAATAATAGAATTTAGCATTCATTGGAAGCTTAAGATTACGTATTTATTTTAACTCTAGATAATGTAAGTGTAACTGTATATAGAAAACTGTACATTTGTATATAGAAAAAATTCTATGTTAAATAAACATCTAGTCTTACTTAGTTCTAACGGTGCTAAGAAGTGTATATTATCAAAACTTACATATTCACTGAAGCGTAACTTTTACTTCATGAAAATATTTCTATAAAATCAAAACCTATAGTAATTAATCTTTTTATTCCCTTTATATAATAATATAATTTTACAAGTTAAATATAATACGAAAAAAGTTACGCCACAGCGACTTGTAATAGCGTAAAGTCAATTGCCCGACGACGCTCACAAGGTGAAGCTCTTGTTAAATAAAAATATTGTTTCTCGTAAATGTTTCTAAATACAATGTCGAGCATTTATGGTTTTGGATGTTTTATTCAGCCCTCCTTTCATTTGCAGCTATTAAGCTATAAAGTCTCAAACTGTTTTATCTTTTATTAGTATCGATACAGGAACTGAGTTATTAGGAATTCAAAATTTATAATATTTTTTTTTGAACAGAAATTCATTTAAAAGCTTCATATATAGAGGTATCGGGACTTGGTAATGAGTTTTTTGTTTTTTCATATTTACATGATCGGTTTTCCATAAATTTCTTTATATTTTTGCCATCACCAGTCGATAATACTGTTTGGTATTATTTAACGATGTATCACAACGTGATTTTTATTTTAAAGTTTTATGTTTAATTTAAATTGATATAAAATATTTCAATCAAATCAATAACTTCCTTTTATCTAAATATAAATTGATATTATTTAAAAGGAAATAATACAACAATATATAAAAGCACACATAAAACTAAACAGAAAAATGAATGGGCTAAGCTAAGTGTCAGTTCATAAATAAGATCTACAGATAACTTTAAAACACTTTTAAATAAAATTATTATTTGGAAATAAATGTTGCATATTTTTCAATATAATTTTATGGAATGTAGCCAGATTATTATCAAAATTATACCGTCTAAAATAACTGCACAATAAAAATTCCCGTACTATTTAGCCTACTGATTATTAATTCTGCTATTATAGCATACTCTAAACCATTCTATATGATTTCAAATAGTTTGAAATCTTCTAAAATTATATCACCTATATAAAATGTATGTAACATGAATTTCTTCATATAACAATATCTGTCAATACTTAAAATAACTATAAAAATGTAACACGATGCTACAATAAAGATTTACAAAGTCTAAACTAAATTTTACAATCACAATAAAACAACTAATATCATAAACATCGTGCTGATCATAAAGTTCCTAATGAGAACATAAAATGTCTGATCTGATACAAAGATGTTCAAAACATTATAATATTATTTGTCATATGGTTTTAATTTCACCATTCATTTATTTTATTACACATTTTATTGATAGATAAATTTCTATATATATAAAAGAGAGTCGTGTTACTATTTACAAATTAAGAACGGCTGTGCGGGTTTGGCTGAAAAATGGTTGAAATAACTAGTTTGTTCTAAAGATATATTTACAACAGAAGTATTCTATTTAAACCTTAGGAAATGAAACATTTCAAACATATTTTGGCTATATAAATGTGTGATTAATATATGTACCTATAAACTATCCAATATTTCGATACACACAAACAATTTCAATATCGAAACTATGATCAAAATGGAACATTGGTGAGAAATATGAAATAATTTTGAATATTTATGATGGTTTCCGTGTGGTTATTGGAGACATTTCATTTTCCTATGCTTAACTCCTTTATCCAACTCCAAAAATATATGTATATAATACCAATTTGACACGACAATCTATCCAATAAAATTATATAACATAAGTCTTTTCATACATGTAGGAGTTTGTTCTAAATTATATAAAGAAAAAAATTCAGTGTTTGTACTAATCCGGTAGAAATTATATATATACAAAATATTGCTTAGATTGTTTAAAATAATTATAATTGTAATTAATGTTACAAAATTACCATTTTATCAATAGGAGCGTTAAGTATTAGCTTCATACAGAATTAATCTGAGAAGTCGGAACAAATATCACTGTTGATAAATACGATGGTCTGTAAATGTAAGCGAAACAACCAAAAGTTTTTAAACACACGAGAATAAAAGTCATATTCACGGCGGATGAATTCAAAAAGGAAAACTTTGAAAGAATTTTATTTGGGAAAGCCGCTCGGGTAAAGGTCAAGTTCATTCAAAACATGCTTGTTGGAAAGAGGATAAGTTCTGCTCGTAATCCACTTTGTCGAACACATTGTACAATATAGTCTGCGTTGCCTCCTGAAAAATCAAAATTGCTTTTAAATAAACGATGCATTCATTATCATTGATCGACGTGTTTATCAACAAACAATTTTAATATTAGCTTTAGACATGGATATGTTAAATGAACGTTTTGTGTTAAGTAAAATTTATTTTTATTTTTGACGCCACTATTTTTTATACTAGTTGAGTTACAAGACACACCCTGCCACGTAATTTCTAACTGTCTTTGAGTCTTACAAACTACAACTTTGAGTCTTACCTCAGAAACATAATAAGTGCAACGAAAATAACTACACAAATATTAAAGTTGCATGAAAATGTAGTGAAAATGCATACAAATGTGTTGTCCAAAATCTGTGTGTGTGAAAACATTTGATAAGAAAAAACAAAATGAAAGCTGCGAATACTTAATATAAAAAAAATTCAATTTGTTCCAAGCTCTCATATATTTAAATCAGTTAAAACAATAACATAAATGAAAAAAGACACTGTTTGTTCAGTACCCTAATTATGTTAATCTGTTATTCTCTAGATACAGTTTTTAACAGCAATATTATTTTTCGTTTTGAACCATGTACCAATATATTAAAGTCTTTATTTGTACAAACTGTTTTGAAGCTGTAACAGTGTGTTTTAATTTATTTTAAACCATCTCGCATAGTAATAAGGTTGGTATTTGTTTAAGCAAAATGATGGTAGAATAAATAGCACATGTTTATAGGGTACCGTTCCGTAAAACAAATATTTCCATTTGAAGCATAACACACTAAATTCCAATCACCTGTTGTCTAAAGTTGACATTAAACGTTTAAAAATAATTTAAAAAATAAATGTATTAAATTACTGGCCAAAAATAAATGTTTTTTTAGTCGATTGATAAAGTTTAGTTAAAAAAAAGAAACTATCAATATTACCTCAAATGAAGATAAATGTCATTGTCAACATGAATTTAATATAGCATAAATGTTTCGAGTATATTTGAGGTTTTTTAAAACACTGTAAATTAAATACCAATATATTTTATAAACTTTTAAAACTACATGACTTTCTTCTATCAGCGATAGTTTTGTTTTGTAATTTCGCAATAACTGGCCCTATTTCGAAACATGGAGCATTACAAAAACTATTTTCATAACAGTTCGCGAACCACTTTTATTACAATTTATAATAAACTAGATTTTATACACTTAAAGTGTTATTTACTAGTTTTAAAATAGCTCACATT